GACAAAATGTACAATGTAAGTCCATATGGTTTAGATTTATTTTCACAATACAGGATAAAAGGGGAACAAATTGAACTGGAACATTTACAGTTTGGTACGAAAGACAAAAGTAACACCTGCGTCAATAACCCATGTATTTAATTGCAATCTCAATATTTGGACAATAATTGAAATTTCATAGTGAAATTATTTTAATTAGCAATTTATATTAGTTTAGCAATGAAAAAATATATTAAAGAGTTAACTGGAAAAATATTTTGATAATTGATTGAAAAGTATTGTTTTGTAATGTAAACATGTGATTAATGACGGAAGTGTGAATTTAATAAAAACATGTTTGCACATGTTTGTGAAAATAAGAGTTTGTATAAAGTGAATTATATTTCTATTGTACTTGCACAAGATATCAACATGCCCCCGCCATCAACCATAGCACATGCCCCTCCAACTACTGTGCACCACCATCCACAGAATGAGGGAACTGACCTCAAACTGCATAGAAGGGTAAATATTGACTGGGTTTTAATTTTAGCAGATTTGACATTGCAGATATTCACTATGTTTTCAATTCATGTGTTTGTGTACAGTAAACCATACATTTTATTGTTTACTTTGCCTATTCAGAGATTTAAATTTTGTGCATTTAGCTGTCAGTTAAATACAGAAAAATAAATATTCAGGTTATAAATTATTCTTTCAATAGTAGTTATAAAATTATGACTTCTTTTTAGTCGACAAAAATTAACGAAACAGCTAATAGAAAAAACTTTCCTTTGAAAATGTCCATAATAAGCTCACTTTGAAAATGCTCAAACTTCTTGACCATATTTCATGTTTATGGTTAACAGGTGGTTTCATTGCAGTGTGTATATTTCAATCACCTGCATGCTCAGTGTTAAATTGTCATTATTAAGACTACAATAGGGAGAAGGTATTGAAAGTGCTATGGATTTGATGACTGTTATATAATTTATTACATGAAATAATACTGTGAAATTGAGAAATCTATCCAGGTTTATACAAATATTACTGACCATAGAGAATTTTAATTTCACAAGTGACAATCGTTCATAAATTTTGTAGCAAAGAACATTTCATTTTCAATATTTAAACAAATTAAACTGATTACAGAAGACAACATTTCACATACATATATGTACTATGGATCCCTGTAAAAGAATCCATTAAAATAATAATTTTCTTAATATTAATATTATTATTATTCTAAATATCTGGACAAATGTGATTAGAACTTTTGAATGAGCAGTGAGTTCATTGTATATTAAAAGTTCATGTCTGAAAATATGGCAGTTGTAAAGATTAATAATTTGATATTATAAATTAAAATATTATTTCTGCTATACCAGTTGTAAGAAGAATTTAACCGTATTGGTGACTAAAATTATAATCATGTTGTTTCAACTTCAATGATTTTATTTTTAATTTATTCTATCAGGGGCTTACAATTAATAACTAGGAGAATAAAGATTATTAAAATGTTTAGTTTGAGTTCCTCTATCAAATGTGGACATGCTTATTTTTTTATTATCAAAACTGGGTTTATTGTTGATTTCCCTACAGGACTATTTTTTTGGTATTCTAGGTGCAGATTTTTTCCTCAAAATCAAACACCACCCCGAAAAGTTGCTAATCGTGAATCCTTAACTACCAAAATAAAGTGATGATCTAATGTAATAAAATTATTTAACGATTATTCTAACAAATATTTGATAAAATGTTATAATTTACCGTATTTGCTTCATTAGAAGTGCATCTCCAATAGAAGAGCACGTAAACGAAAATCCACAATTGTTGTAAACTGAATAGTTAAAATATGACTTATTTTTACAATAGAAATTCCTCAGTAATTTTTACCTCAGTGCATATGCTACTGAATGGAACATATATGGGAATAACCATACCCAGCATACAGGACTACTTTTTGCAATTAAACGTAACTTGACAAGGGTTGTGATTACATCAATCATAAGTTCATGAATCTGAAACAGTCAGTATTTAGATATCGTATTTACTCTATTAAAAGCGCATCTCCGATAGAAGCGTAAAGCAATCATATTGTACTGGATTATTAAAATATGACTTATTATATATTGAGCTATATTAATACCATGCATGATGTTAAACCTTACACACCCAAACCAGACAATAGATAATCGATAACATTTTGGGTGTGTCGACTGAGTCAAATCAGACAACCACACCCACCCGCTATGACTCACCGAGTTGGGCGTGTCAAATAAAAATATGACGTTATATTTAGAGCACAAAGGAAAACATATTTGCAGCAGAGAGTCATACTCCAACCTTTGTCATTACTAAATTTTAAGGCAATTTTTTTTTTTAACTGAAAACATGCTTTTCATATGTGATCAATTTGTTTTTAACTTTGCACACAGTCATTTTTTCCACCACACACATTTTTGTGTGTCTTCTAATAATTCTGTTATTAAATTTTGAATGAAATGGTAGAAATTGTTTACATCAAAAGTTTTAAAAAAAAATTAGAGAAAGGTGACAAGAATTTACTTTTGAGGTTAATTAATAAAAGAAACACTTCACCAACACATGCGACAAACAGCAAGAGCATGTTATTGTTTAAACACAAGTGTCTACCCATGAGTCTGTGCATTTTAGCAAGTGTTGTTATTGTCGCTGAAGACTCAATTCCCATGCATGCACAGGTGTGACAACCCCTTTACTTGAAATATTGGCAGGTAGCCTGTTTATGCCAATAAATATAACTATAACTAATTAATAAGAGAACCTGCAAGCAATGACAAACATTTTAATTGAATAAAAAAGGAAAAAGAATGAAAAACTTGGGGATCATAAGTGATTGAAATATTTCATACAGCTTAAATTACCGGTACACAAAAACTATGAATTTAGCACCAAGCAAACTAAGAATCCTGTAGATTTGATTTTATGCAAATTAATTTTAATAAAAATTTTTTGCAACATTATTATTATAACCTTTATTTTATGTATAATGTAATCAACAGGTCCTAACTGACACTCAAGTCAGAAATTACTTATTTTTTATATTAAAGCGGAGGAGTCGCCACTTGCGCATGCGTCAGATGGCTATAGCGTGTCATTGTTTACAAACAAGCGTCTACCCATGGGTCTTTGCATTTTTATCCCTTATTGCTATCGTTGCGCGTGCTCAGGTGGCGACCTTCCCGCTTTAAAATACATTGTTTATTCACATGAAATTCAAACATACACTGCGCGACGACCACCAGCCTTTAAAGCATTTTATTATATTGGGCAGTACTTGTTAAATTTTGTGTAAAAAAACATAGTACTGTATATGTTGCATGGGACCCATATCAATCTGAAAAGTTGTGGCAACTGGAGTCAATGCAAAGCTAACTTACAAGATGAGCTACTCGATCCTCACACCTAACAGTTAGACCAATCAGAAAACGGCTTGTTAGCTAATAGGTTCAACTCAACAAATAATATAAGTGGTGTTCTCACTGGACGAAATAAACCTTTTATTTGAGAAAGTTGTTAAATACTCAGGTTATAAAAATGTGTGTGTGAACAGAATACGCCGTTGTGGCATCAGCGTTTTTAAACGCTAAACGTCACACCAGTTCTCAACTTCTTGCATAGCGCAATGTGCCGTGTGAACACAATACAGCGGCAAAACGTCAGATGTTACAGGTCGAATGTTGAACTGGTCAGATGAAGAAACGAGATTACTGATATCTGTATGGAGAGAATTGAATATTTAAAGAATGATGGACGGACGAAACAGAACGTCCAGGGATGCTATAGTATATGCTGTGATTGCAGAAAAAGCGGCTGAAAAGGGGTTGGACAGGACGTCATTACAATGACAACAGAAGATCAAAACTTTACATATAAAGTACAGAGAAGTGACTGAGCACAACAACAGAAGCAGTAGAGAGCCGAAATACTACACGAAATATTAGGTGGAAGGCCAGCATTCAATCCTCAAACACCGGTGTTTTTACCATAGACCCTAAAAGTTTGATTAATGATTTTTATGGTCTATGTTTTTACTAGTAAGTTAGAACGCGAGCAGACAATTCAGCTGATTATCTGACATTTGCACACACAAAAAACAGTGTTAACACCAACGTTTTTTAGATGTGTGAGAACATAGTTGAGTCTTTCATAATCCTTTCTAAGTTGAATCAACATTGCTGGCCAATCCAACATGAAATTTAAAACTATATATTTTATACATGTAGCTCATTCAGTACAATACTAATTTGAAGAAAGCAGACTGTCTCTGTGAGCATATGCAACAAAACATGCTATGCAACAGACAATATGTCCAGACTATACACACACCGGGAGAAAAGCAACAGGTGTAAAATAAAGGGAAATGTAAATTTATAGAAAATAATAATTATCTTTCAAATGGCAACGTGTGCTTTATCACGGCATCTATCACGTATGTGAAAATTAATGAAGTAGAAAATATCTAGGACATTAATGTTGTTCAACACCGACAGTTTGCCCATTGCCATGGTAACAAAAAGATCATAAAAAAACAGCTATAAATAGACTATTAAAAAGTACAGGCATATTAATCCAAAACACTCAAAACTTTGTTTTCCTTAAAATGCACATTTTTTCTTAAAGTCTTGATAACAACTCATTACTGTACTCGATCAATTATATTAATTTAAGTTAAAAGAATTTTCTATATTATAATTAAAATAATTGGGGTATTAGAGGAAACATTGTTGCTATTTCATGTGCACTCACTGAAAAATGTGCAAAAGGAATATTGAATTTACAAACACGTTTTACGTGCTCACAGAATCTACTGCGGGTACGGAAACCTCGATAAATAGGGAATATTTAAAATTATATATTTTGCGGGTTTTCACTCTCAATGGGGTTGGTGATAATCCCCGATATGCACAGCCTGGGGGATCGAGGGAGAAACCAATATGTTGATTTGGAGGGGGTCATTAATTTCAGTGTTTACTCACCAATGTGCAATATTCATTGTTTTTAGGGTCCGTCTCGTACCCACAAGTGCTGTTTTCTGGTTCTATTATCGGGTCGAGGTTCAAAAACGACAGAAATTCGATTTTACTGATGCAGGCGTGGTAGGTGACGGTTCCACTGCTCAATACCTTCTCACACGCCTGGGAATTCACATTTTCTTGCGTCCTCGTATTATGAAGCAGAGTTAAAAACACCAGCAGAAACGTCCATCGCTTAAAACGAAAATGTGGGTGTGGGATTCGAAAGTTGCAGCCGGTATCTGCCGCCATCTTTGATATTATCCCGTCCTGTAAAGGGCGTCAGCTGCCCGGGCTACTGGCACTGTTCACGATGCCTGCTCGCTGGTTGGGCGAAGCAACGGTGAAATTACACGAAAAAATGGAGAAGCTTCTCAGCAACGGCGATGTTTTGAAGATCGCATCACGACGAGGAACTGATGAAGAGACAAAAAAAACAATACTTGACAATAGTAAAAAAATTACACACACACACGCAAAATGTCAATACAAAATAGCTCACCCGTGCAAATGTGAAAGAGTATATTTTAGGACACCGCGCGGGTCAACAACAATTTAATATGCAATATCAGAATCAATATATTTTGACAGAGGAGAATTTAAAAATACAGAATAAAATGTTGAATAAGTCGAGATGTAATCCTACGTTATAGGATTGGTATTTTCACTTTCTGCTCAAGATCATTAAAGGGCAGCTTCCACGTAAAAAAACATCTAGCTTGCTGCAGAGCGGTGAACAAGGTCCAGCGGCGGTGCCGATGACTGCACGCCAACACATCACACTTTTTCCGATAACAAATACTCACCTCAATGCACGCCATAAAAATACATATTTCTGTACGTATCCTCGAATGACGAATATTTATGAAATTTTCATAATATGTCGCATATATATCTTTGTTAAAGCGCGTCCTCATTGAGTAATACCGAACGTGGCTATTTCATCTGCTGAGCCATTCACCTATTGTGTGTTTCAAAATAGACGGTACCATTCGGTTCACTGATTGGCCCTGGGATAATTGTTAGGGGTCAACTAGGTTGGGAGAATCCACATTTCAAAATCAGAAACCCCTTGTTGGTATCTTTTGCGTTCAAAACAAAAATAGAAACGGTAATCTCATTTTGTATGTGTTTATTAACATGCAATGTATTTTATGCTGTTTCACTGAATGGCGACTGATCCACGGTTTCATAACTTTGTCTGTGGTATATATCGTGGAATGAATGGCTGAACAAACACTTGGTGGCGCACTAATAAAAACATATGGGAGAACCACATTACCAAGTACGAGTATGGCAATCATTTAGAAAATTGTCATCTCACTCCATCAACGGCACAAAACAATTCGAAAGAAAGAAGATATCTTCAGACTTTAGTATTTGTTTGGTCATAACGTTTTATTTTAGGTAAAAAACAATGAGACAATTCTTCAGCTGACAAATAAATAAACAATTAAATTAAATTAAATAAATAAATAAATAAATAAATAAATAAATAAATAAATAAATAAATAAATAAATAAATAAATGTGGAGGAGTATGATAAGCATTTTAATCGGTATCTACGAATAATAAAATAAAAACTGCACATTGAACGTTTGATAAATATCCAGGAAAATAGGAGTACAATTCTGAACATAAACTATTCACAGAGTAATCAGCTGCCCTAAAAAATAAACATATGATGTGCCAACAGACTACAATAGAAAACAATGAAACTGAATTTCGAGAGTCCTTTTATATTTCAAATAAACTAATCATTTAGGACTTTTAATCGCTATAGCAGACACAATTGGTCTGACATGGTCGGTATGCAGTTGCTTCCGCGCTACGGCTGTATACGTTCGAATACGTTGGAGGGCGCAGTGTAATTTCAGACATAGACCTGCATTGGTGGAACTTTGCATGCCTCATTTTGTGGGCTTGCAGGAATATTTCCAACATGACCAGATGGAAACGAATCACCGATTCATCCAATAACTACTGAGATTTTAAACTTTTTAATTTTTTTTTCTTCTAAGAAATCAACAAATTACATCGGCAGGACACGATGTCTAAATTATTGAAACAAACACACAAAAAACAACAAAAATTCAAACATGCGTTGCTTTCCCCAAAATTTGGCATCGTCAAATTTGAAACCTTCTGACCTGGAGTCAGACGCGCTACCATTGCGCCACAGAGTCAGAACTTACATGCACTTAATGCATCTGTATTTTTTTATTTTTCATTTTTATGTCATCCTACAAGGTATTTTATGATAATGTAATTTTCCTGTGACATGTGTCGCTTATTGTCGCTTTCTTTGTATGAATTCAGTGTGATAGTAGATTTTAGGTCAACTATTCCAAAACAACAGTTATGGAGTACTTTGATCTATTCGTGATATTCCTGTTCAAAATTGTTATGCTCTCAACTCGTTTTTAGTCCATAAACGAATCGACCTCAATGACCCTGACGTGATTCGAACACGCAACCTTCTGATCTGGAGTCAGACGCGCTACCATTGCGCCACAGAGTCAGTACTTAAATGCCCTTAATGCATCTGC